AAATAGCTTTCTTAAAAAGCCCATTCAAAATACTATATGCATAACGAGAGTCAAGTGTTTTTGACATAGTATCAAAGAAAGTATTATCATCTAGATATAATAGAACCGGCATTGATTTGTAAATCAAAATAGATTATCTATCCTATAAGTAATTAATGGTTAAGACTTTAGTAATTCATATGATTTTAAATAGTTGTCATCTGTATACTAGTGACATGAAATCATAAAAATATAGAAAGCTGCATTTTGTGAAACTATCATAATCTTTAGAAAATGTTGACAAAGAAATCTCTGATTGATAAGTCGTAAACAAGTACAGATATAAGTGCTATCTTCAAAGATAATAACATAATTCTTGTTAGTTGCCCGGTAACGAATAACCTCTCAAATTTCTTGAACAGGTAGTGCAAATAAATCTATAATTTTATTAATATTCATAGCTGAAAAATCATCAAGATCTTCAAAAAAATTGCATTCATATCCATTATGTTTTTTATGTAATTTGAATTTACTTTTTCTTTAGAAATCAATATTGAACTGTACCAAAGAGCTTTTTCTAATTCAAATCTTTGTAGAGATAAAGCTGATGATGTTAAAAATTGAGAAAGCTATTTATCAATTTCTGGAAATAATTGTGTCGATATCGATGTATTTGTAGACTTGGTGTAAGTTTTAGACCAATTATTATAATGAATGAATAATGATTCTTGAGCAAGTCGGTTATCTAAAACCTTTGCAAGATCACATGGCTTGTTAATGTAGATTTAATTATTCTATTAATGCTTTCTACTTGTTGCGTTGACTGAATGCCTATAATAGTATTGTTAAGTAATCATAAATGATTATTTAAATAATGTTAGAGAAAAAAAAATAAATCTATTAAAATTATATCTATTCATTATTGAAATTACAAATTGCATTACAAATTTGCAATAATACTACCTGCAGTGAATTTGTGAGAAATCAAAGCTAATGCCTATTGTTCCTTAGTGTTATAGAGTTGCTCAAGATAGTTTTTTGTAGTTGGGTATTTGGTAACAAGCAATTTCTACTCAAACTCAAATTCTAGCTTTGATAAACTATTGTGGACTTTATACCAATCTTTTAAAAAATTGTTCTAATCAGATCCAAGCTTGTTTTTTAAATTTTTTGGAAGATTCTGAGCAATATGATAAATGCAATTTATGTGATAGGTTTTGGGCATTATACGTTCTATAGCAGTCTTATTTGCAATATTAGAGTCTGTAACAAGAATATGTGGTTGATATCCTGTGGATTCTAAAATTTTAGAAAGAACCCATTCGAAACTAGTAGTAGTTTTGTCATTCATTAAAGCCTGTGCAACAAGATAGCTCCTATTATAATTATCGATACATACAAAAAGGCTAAGAGCTATATTAAACTGATTTGTACTATACATGTTATCATTTAAGACAATGTCATGATAACAGATCCAAGTTTCAACTTGGGTGGGTTCTATCCATAAGAGCAATTCTAAAGAGTTGGTAATAGGTTCTAAATTCCAACAAACTACCCAATTAGGATCTTGTAATTTATTTTTGAGAAGTGTTTCTAAAAGAGTGAAAGCCTCATTATCAATCTTATTATGTTGTTTAAATGATTGGATAGCAAGAGACAGATCATGAGGTAAAATAGGGTATCAGGATATTTATATTCAAATAAAAAAAGTTGTATTCGCATATTTAGACCCTTAGAAGTATAATACTCTATATCTTGTTTTACTTTAATGGGAAATTGTCGGTAATAAGAAGCAAATATAATATTATCCGGATGAATTTTATAAGCATGTTCAAGATTACAAGAATTAATTTTGATTATTCTAGTTGTTTTTGGGCAGCTTGCATTAACTAGCCATTTGCATCCTAGCTATTTTGTGCGTATTTGTTTTTGTTGCTCTAAAATAACTGTTTTTGTTGAATAACCTATTTCTTGATATTTGCAAGCATACCTATATCTTCTACGTGTAATATCATCAGATTTAGATCTAACAATAATTGTGACAAAACCATTTTGCTTAGCATAGACCTGAATATAACGATCAAGTTGCTCCCAACTCATAAATATTGTACTAGGGATAATGTCAAGACGATCTTTATTTGTGATATACTAACATCATTTTCTGTAGTATTTACCTCAAGTATATCAGACACAAGAGAGTTATGTTGCATAAAACATACGGAAGAATTTTGTAAATCAAGTGTTGATATATCATCATATAAAAAAGATTGTGTGTATTGTGATGATGACTGCTAGGATGCTTGTTAAGTATAAGAATAGGCAATTGGAGAATAAGATAATACTGAAGCTTCATGTATATTCAATCACTCTGAATAAGCTTGTTATTGTAATGTTAATTGCTGTGCAAAGTTGGTTTGATAAATTGAATAAATGATCTGTGTTTATATATAATGTGAAAGAATCGTTAGACAAAATTGTATAGAAAAATTTATAGTTAACACATGATAATTAATAAC